CACACACACACATCCCCACAGGCCCCCCCACGCACGTGACAAATACGGTTTTTAAAAAGTGAACTTTTTATAACATCCACACTGTGTAATGATCACTGTCAGATATTTAATTTACCTTCAGAATCAGACTTAGATTTTTTTCTCAACTTTATCATCAGTTTTCTTAACAGTATTATTTATGCTTCTGCTGCTGAGCCATGAGGAGCTTTGAAATATAAAAAAAACTTAAATCTTAAATAAAAGTTCACGCATCTCCTTCCTCCTCAGATGACCCTGACCCACAAACCTCTCCCCGACAAGAGACATTTCGGCAGCATGACAGTGGCTATAATTCCTCACTTCACCATCTGTGGCAGCTTCTCGTCTCCAAAATGAGCGTACGCATGGGTCAGAGCTGGCTGAGGCACCGCACATTTTCACACCAAGTTTTGGTTTTATAAATCACAACCTTTGTGTGAAAAGTGGCGTACACAAGTTTCTGGGATCCTTTTGTGTGTACGCAAGTTTCCGTTTGGGCTCATCAGTTTAATTTCAGCGCTATTAGGATGGCTTTACAACCACACTATGAAGAAATTGTGTATGGCAAGAAATGGATTGCCTTCTACAGCTATCTCTGCGGCTACTTCACACCATTATGGAGAGGAAAGGGGTTTCTCCCCGAGGACCATCAGAAGATTTTGCTCTGAAAATGGATTGAGTAGACTTTCTGATGCACATCTGCAGGTAAAGGTTTATGAAATAACAGAACGAACTGTTAACTAGTGAAACATGCATTTGCTAGTTTTCACCTGAAAAATTCGACCAAGTTTGTCTGCAGTCACGTCCGCCTCTCTCAGACACAAACGTTTGGTTTTACGAAAAACAACAAACTGCTCCATCTCAGTGTGTAACGTGGTCATGGACAATTGGAAAGTTTCTCTGAATAAGAAAAAAAAAGTATTTCCAGTTTGGCAAAAATGAAAAAACGGTCCGTTTCCCCGTTTTTGGAGTATAAAACAAGAAAAAGAAAACACATCCATTTTTTGTTTTTCCAATATAAGTTTTTAAAATGAAAAACGAATAACCAAAAGATACACTGACCCATTTGCGACCAAATTGGTCGCACTCTAGAGCCCTGTTATACAGTATACAGCAGCATGTCCAACTCAAGGGTCTCCTGCAAGTTTTAGATTTGTCCCTGCTTCAACACAGCTGATTCAAATAGATGATTTACCTTCTCAGTTTGCCATCAAGGTCTGCAGAGACCCACTAATTAAGCACTCCTTAGGTTCAGCTGTGCTGAACCAGGGCAGCACCTAAAACATGCAAGACTTTGGACACCACTGGTATACAGTATATTAAAAAAAAACAACTTTCCATGTTCTCTAGGTGAAAGAGTTTTAAATGTTATTTTAATTTATCATAATGATCCACAAATTTCATTCACAATTGTATCAAAAAAACAAGGTTCTTCATTTGCTAAACTTATTTATATTTAGGACCATACTGTGATACAGCTTTTCTGAGATAAATGTAATTTATTAGACGATCAAATATGAAGAATAAATGATTACACGAGCTGAAACCATCTAAATAATATAATATTTTTGAATAAAATAGTCTTTTAAAAAAGAAATCAGTCTAACAAATAAAACATTTGTATGTTTTAAGTTATTTTGCTCTGTGRAAAAGACAGATATTTGCTGCTTGGACTGGAGAGTGTGGAAAGCTGGTTTAACCAAGGCTGAAGATGCAGAAGACCAAACAGGAGCTGTCCATCTGAGGGACATGTTAGTCTAAAAGACATTTAACCATGAAATGTTCAGTTTGTGATGTTTATATGACATACACCCAGCCCCTCGGACACTTAGCTAGTTTACAAAATTTATTCAGAGTAAAAGAATAAAATAAAAACTTGTTGGACTGATTTGACATGATGTCCTGAGACGTTGCAGCTGATAGGAGTCATAAAACAGAACAGGGGGATGTTAGATGACCTGACGCCCCTCTAGATAAATGTGTTAAATGAGTGAAGGAAAATATGAGCACCAAGCAACAACCCTAGGTTCTCCCCTGAGAACCAGACCAAACATTTTATGTGCAACGCTGAATATATCATAATTACTCATCAGAGAGCTCCCTATTTAATGACAATATAAAGAAGTGATGACAGCAGGCTTCTACAGAGCCTTGTTCCACCAACATGTGTAAGTAGTGTGGGCTAGCAGGAAGTAACATACAGCATTATACTGAGGAGCTCTCCACACAGGCCAGAACAAGGCTGTAGAGTCCAACGACTACCAGGATGAAGGAAGACTGTGAGCAGCTGTAGAAGAACATCTCTGCAACACTTCCTGCCTCTCTGGGAATATTTCAGCCAAGTGACAAAGGAATTATTTTCTTACTTTGCCAGGGAGTTGTGAGCCTCAATGAAGATATTTTGAGCTTCTTCTCCAAAAGTCTTTGGATTGAACTGGGGGTCATACTGTTTGATTTTACGAACCCTGGAACAAGACAGAAATGGTTCGTTTAAATGAAACAGTTTGTATTAAAGAAGTGTAATTTCTCCTAGTGAACCTCGTCCACAACTGAGTCATTTTTCTTTAAAGGTCAACATGTGAAAAACTACAGAATCAGCACGATCTTACATCAGCAGTGAGGCGGCACTCTGTCGGATCTGTTCAGTTCGTTGTTTCAGGCCTTCTTTAGACAGAGAGGACAGACGAGCATCTCCTTCAGGAGGGATGTAAGGGTCAAAGATTCCCCCTGAGGAAAACAACAGGACAAGTGTTTGCTGTCCACACACGTAAAGCTTTCAGCATCAATCAGCTCAATCTAAAACTGTTCCACACACAGGCTAAAAATATGACGTTCAAAAACTCCAGGATCTGAAACTAAAAGCTACACACAGTGTTAAAATTTATGTGTTAAACTCTTGGGTGTTGATTTAACACCCACTAGTGTTATTTTAACACTGAGTAAACTGACACCCAGTGTTGATGTTTATTTACAGTGTTGTATCAACACTGGACAGTGTTAAATAAGCTCCGCCCACTGGTAAGTGTTATATAACACTTAACAGTGTTGTTACATGACACCATGCAGTGTTGAAAGAAGTATTCTGAAAAGCCCCGCCCTCTTCCACCTCATGCCAGACAGACCAGTATTTTCCAAGGAGGTTCTATAGAACACCTGGAGTGGTCAGAAACCAGGTGAGCTTGTGATCAGCTGGTGAAGCTAACGGCTAACGCTAAACGGGCAAGAGTCTGGATTTCCCATTACTGTACATGTTGACAACAGAGCAGAAAAAAAGGACTGACTATGTAGAAATCGTTAAAACTATTAATAATAATACTAACACAATTATTATTAATATTTTACAGTTCACATAATCTATCTAATGTTTTAAATAATGTCAGAAAAGCTGTTTGTGTTATGGTTTTATTAACAGAAGATAAACAGGAAAACGTCTCATTTCACAACACAAGTCAGCAGCTTTGATCTTATTTAGCTCAATGTGATCTGAGCAGAACATAATGTAACAGTTTAAAATTAAAATAATCTTATAAAGTCGATGTAGTCAAAAGCTATGTTTACATGCACAAAATTTTTTGATCGGATTGAAACGTATTCGGATTAAATAATCCGAATGTACTGTTTACATGGACACAATCCGATCATGAAAAGTGTTTACATGCACCGGAGTTTTATTCAGAATAAAAGTCCGGAGATGCGCAGTGCTGTAAACGTTCAGCTCTACTTCCGTGTTACAAACGTAAACAAAGCTCCTCTGTGCGCTCAGGACGGACCCGTGTCAGCTTTTAATAACGGTAGAGACATCGTTGATCCTCAGTTGAGCTGCAGCCTGCAGATGAAGCACTACGTGCCTTTTTTTTGTGAAGCAACGTCTGTTGTTTCTCTCCTTTTTCATCTGTTAAGAGAGCATGGAGGAAAAGTTCTGCGCAGCGCAGCACAGCTGGAGCGCTGCTGCCCCGCCTCCTCTAACTGGGTGAATGAAAGTCAGCAGACATGCGCGCACAGGTCAGTTTTCTACAATCAGAATGAGATGATCAGATTAAGTGTTTACATGAACCTCATTCTGATTATCAATCGGCATAACCCACCCTTTTCATTCGGATTAAAAATTCATTCGGATCGAGCTCAATCGGATCAGAATAATCGGAACGGGCTGTTTACACGACGCATTTTTATTCCAAAAGGCCGTTTAATCCGATTACTTTTGTCCATGCAAACGTAGCTAGTGTTATTTATTGAAATGGTTAGCAGATATTAGCTTGTGGAGCATTTATACAGAGTGTAGCACTGTTGAATCATGCTACAATTTAACACAAACTATTAAATATTACTTTGTCTTCTGATTAATATTTAGACCTACAG